CGATTTCTTAGTTCTTCTATTTTTTATTTTTCGATTTTACGAATGTTTTGATGTTTCGATTTCTCGGTTTTGCAGTTTTTCGATTGTTCAATTTTGCAATATTTTATTTTTTCGATTTTTTTTAACCTTTGGGTTTTAAGTTTTTTGATATTTCAATTTATGGATCTTTCGATTCCCCGTTTTTTCAGTTTTTCGGTTTTTAAATTTTTCGATCTTTTAATTATTCGATTTCTCGATTTATTTCGATGTTTCATTTTTTCAAATCTTCAGTTTTCCGATTGTTCGGTTTTTCAATTTTAGGATTTGCCGATTTTTAAAAATTTTCCAGTTTGTCGATTTTGGGCTATGTCGATTTCTCAACTTTTCGGCTTTTGGATGTTTCGATTTTTGGAATTTTTCAGTTTCTCGATTTTTCAATTTTCCGATTCTTCAATATTTCTCCACATTTTTCGATTTTCGTAGTTTCTAAATTTTGGATTTTTCGATTTCGCGATTTCTCGACTTTCCGATGTTTCGAGTTCTCGATTTATAGATTTTTTGGTTTTTCAGTTCTTCAACTTTTTGATATGTCAATATTTCGATTTTTTTAATTTTCGATTTCTCGATTTTTCAATCTTTCGCTGTTTCATTGTGATTTTTCAATATTTCGATTCTTCAATTTTTCGGTTTTTCGTTTGGGTTCCTCGATTTTTTCCATTTTCCATTTTTAAATAGTTTCTCGATTTTTTGATGTTTCGATTTGTCAATTGTGGATCCTTTGATTTTCCCATTTCCCCATTTCGCGACTTTTCGATGATTCGACTTACGATTTATAGATTTTTCAATATTTCGATTCTTCAGTTTTTCGATTTTTCGTTTTGATTTCTGGATTTTTCACATTTTCGATTTTCCAATTTTCCGATACATGTTTCAGTGTTCTGATTTTTCAATTCTTCAAATTTTCGCGTCTCTTCAGTGTTTTGATTGTTATTTTCCCGATTCTCCAATTCTTCGATCCTTCAATTTTCCGATTTTTCTTTTTTTAGCGTTTTTAAATTTTTGATTTTTCGATTTCTCCATTTTTCGACTTTTAGATTTTTTGATTTTCCCATTTCTCCATTTCTCGACTTCCGATTTATGGATTTTTCAAATTTCATTCTTCAATTTTTCTTTGATTTTTCAATTTTTCGATTAATCGATTTGCTAATTTTTCAATACATATTTCAGTTTTGGAATTTTTCAATATTTAGATTCTTCAATTTTTCGATTGCTCGTTTTGATTTTTGAATTCTTCATATTTTCGATTTTCCAATTTTCCGATACATATTTCAGTTTTATAATTTTTCAATTTTTCAATTTTCTGGTTTTCAATGTTTCGATTCTCCAATTTTTTTATTGTTGAATTTTCAAATTCTCGATTTTTCAATTTTTCGCTGTTTTATTGTGATTTTTCAATATTTTGATTCTTCAATTTTTCGACTTGTAGATCCTTTGATTTTCCCATTTTCTCCATTTCCCGACTTTTCGATGTTTGGACTTACGATTTATGGATGTTTTAATAATTTGATTCTTCAATTTTTCGATTTTTCGTTTTGATTTCTCGATTTTTCACATTTTCGATTTTCCAATTTTCCGATACATATTTCAGTGTGTTATGATTTTTCAATTCTTCAAATGTTCGAGTCTCCAGTTTCTCGACTTTCCGATGTTTCGAATTCTCCATTTTTGAATTTTTCGATTTTTCAGTTCTTTAACTTTTTGATTCGTCAATATTTCGATTTTTTAAATTTTCGATTTCCGATTGTGATTTATACCTAAATACGCTATTGGGATTTTTCGGCTTGTCGATTTCTCGATTTTTCAACTTTAAATGTCTCAATTTTTCATAATTTCAATTTTGGGCTTTTCCGATTCCTCCATTCTTTAAATTTTCTATTTCTTGATTTTTTATTTTTCGATTTCTCAATCTTTCCATCTTGCAATGATATGATTTCTCAATTTTTGTCGTCTTCAATTTTACGGTTTTTAAATATTTCGATTTTTCAATTTTTCAAATGTTCACGTTTCTAAATTTTCAGTTTGCCGGTTTCTAAAGTATTTTTTTTTTATTTGTCCATTTCTGGACTTCCTAAAGTTTCGATTTTTCACATCTTCAATTCTTCAATTTTTCGATTTTTTAAGACTACGATTTTTCAATTTTGCTTTTTTAGATTTTCGATTTCTCAATTTTCCAATTTTTTAATTTCTCAATTTTTTGAATATTTCTTTCAGTTATGAGATTTTTCAATATTTCAATTTTTCGACTTTTCGATTTTTGAATTGATGGATTTTTTTTGATCTCTCGATTTTTTACTTTTTGGATTTTCAATTTATTGTAAACTTTAGATTTTTCAATTCTGCGACTGTTTAATGCACTTCGATTTCTCAATTTTTAAACTTTTCGATGTTTTAATATTTCATGTTTTAAAATTCTAGGTTTTTCGATATCTCGAGTTTTCTGTTCTTCTATATTTCAATTTTTCAATTTTTCGATTTTTGAATTTTAATTTTCGATTTTCCAGTTTTTCTTTTTTAAAATTTTTCGATTATTCAATTTTTTAATTTCTCAATTTATCGAATTCAGATGTTTCGTTGTTTCGATTGTTCAATTTCTCAATTTTTCAATTTTTAACTTTCCTTTTCGGCTTCCGACTCCTCAATTTCTCGATCCTTCGATTTTTCGATTTCTCGAAGTCTCAGTTTTTGAATTTTTCGATGTTTTGATTTTTGGATTTCTCGGTTTTTCGATTTTTTTCTTTTGAGCTTTTCAATTTCTGGTTTTTCCAATTTTTCAATGCCTCGATTTTTCAATTTTTCAAATTGAATTGGATTTGTCGATTCTTCAATTTTGCGATATTTTAATTATTCATTGTTTTAAATTTTAGTTTTTTCGATTTCTCGATTTTTTGACTTTTCAGTTCTTCAGTATTTAAATTTTTGAATTTTTCAAATTTTTGCGTTAAATTTTCAGTTTTCTGATTTCTCAATTAATCTATTTTTGATTTTCCCACTTTTCAAAGTTTCGATTTTTCAGTTCTTCAATTCTTCGATTTTTCGACTTCGCTTTATTGGTTTGCCGATTTCTCAATTTTTGGATATTTCTTTCAGTTTTGATATTTTTCAATACTTCGATTCTTTCATTTTTCGACTTCTAGATTTTTCTATTTTTTATTTTTGGATTTTCAGTTTTTTGTTTTTTATTTCAATTTCTCAATTTTTCAACTTTTTCATATTTTAATTTTTAAATTTCTAGATTTTTCAGTTTCTCGAGTTTCCAGTTCTATATTTTAATTTTTTAAATTTACGAATGTTTAAATTTTTTGAGATCTCAATTCATTGAGATTCGGATGTTTCGATGTTTTGATTATTCAATCTCTCGCTTTATCAATTTTTCCATATTTAAGTTTTCGATTTTTCGATTTTGGCCTACTTTGGTTTCTCAATTTTTTGATTTTTTGACTTCTCGATTTTTCGACTCCTCGATTTTTTTTGTCTTTTGATTTTTCGATTTCTCGATGTCTCAATTTTTGAATTTTACAATGTTTCGATTTTTCGATTTGTTGGTTTTTAGATTTTTTGCTTTTCGGTTTTTCGATTTTTCGATGTTTCGATTTTTGATTTATCCGATTTTTCAATTGTCCAATTTTTTAAATTCTCGACTTCTCGATTCGTTGATTTTTCAGTTTTTCGATTATTAAATTTTAGATTTTTTTTTTTTGATGTTTGGATTTCTCCATTTTTCAGTTTAAGGATATTTTAACTTTTCAATGTTTTAAATTTTAGATTTTTCGATTTTTTAGTTCTTCAATATTTTTTTATTTTTCAAATTTTGACGTTTCTGAATTTTTAGTTTTCGGATTTCTCAATTAATCTATTTTTTTAAATTCCCATTTCTCCACTTCCTAAAGTTTCGATTTTTCAGTTCTTCAGTTCTTCAATTTTTCGATTATTCAGGTTTTTGATTTTCCAATTTTTCGATTTTTTAAGTTTGCGATTTTTAGACTCTGCTTTTTTGACTTTTTTGTTTCTCAATTTTTTAATTTCCTATTTTTTTGATATTTCGTTCAATTTTGTGATTTTTCAGTTTTTCGATTTCTCAATTTTAACTTTTCGATTTTTGAAATTATTAATTTTTTTCGATTTTTTGAGTTTTCAGTTCTCTATATTTCAATTTTTCAATTTTCGGAATTTTTAAATTTTCGATTGTCCAATTTTTTTTTATTTTTTGATTTTCCAATTTTTCGATGTTTCGATTTTTGAATTAACGGATTGTTCAATTTCTCGATTTTCAAATTTTAGATTTTCCAATTTTAATTTTTTTGATTTTTTTATGTTTCGATTTCTCCATTTTACAATTTTCCCATATTAGAATTTTTCAGTGTTTTAAATTAATATGTATTTAATGATTTGACTACTGTTAATAAAAAAAAAACGTAAGAAGATGTTCATATTGAATTAATTTGGTGTTCATAGTTTGATGATAATCCATAGTTATTCTGTAGGCAAATTAGATGACTTGTTACTTATTAATTAAAGTAGTGGTCGTTTAATTTCGTATACCTTTAAAGTGGACGAAGGGACGCATATTTGTTAGCCATGCAGTTCATGGATAATAGGTATACCGCGATAATATTAAATTTTTGTTACCTTAACCTAGAAACAGGTATGCACTACATATACATATATTACAGTAAAGTCTTCAACACGTACGTTTGCTTATTTTGTGACTGCTTCCCGTACAACGTACTGATTAATACGTCCGTTTACTATCTTATCGACATCACGTGCTTACGGACTATTTTTACCCCCTTTCGTAAGGTACCGCCACTTCATAGTGAAGCGAGTGAGATATAAAATATATATTCATTCTTTTCTACATGGGAAAGTGATTGTCCGTATAGGTTGTCCAACTATAATATACTTAAACAATGCTATTACATACGCCACCAACGCAACCTCATCCCGTTTTCTCTTTGTTGCAGCTCACTGGCGATGAACAACAATAACAACAGTAGCACGAACAACAACAACAACAGTAATAGTAACAACAATAACTTGTTGAGTTCGACGCAACAGAACAATGCTAAGCTCGACCAACAAGAGCAACCGGATAGTGATACTATTAAAATGTTCGTGGGGCAGGTGCCCAGGTCTATGGACGAGAACGATCTCAGAAGGATGTTCGAGGAATACGGGCGCGTGCATTCGATAAACGTGCTTAGAGACAAAACCACAGGAGCCAGTAAAGGTAGGACGATTGTAGATTCTTCGTGACGTGTACGTCACGTGACTTCGGGATTACGTCGTCGCCGCGGTCGTCCTAATCCCCCAACAAATCGCTCAGTGTGTGCACAGCAATCCCTTGAATAATAATACACTTTATGAAAGTGTTCGGGACATAAATTCTCGTTGGTCGCGGCGCGCTCAGACCTCTATTTTAGCCATTTAATTTAAAGGCCATAAATAACGATCCTTATCTGGCTCCATTGAGAGGAGCTCGAACAATTATATCTTTAAAAAACATCATCGATTTGTTTGCCCTTGCCGTTCGCGAGCATTCAAAGACCACCGTCAGGGGGCGCCTCTCTAATCCTGAACGCCTGACATCTCGATTAATTGATTGTTCTTTTGTACGTTGCCTACTCTCGTTCTCGTCGGAGGAAGAATCCGGCTCGTAAATTGATATTTAAGTGGTGCGGTAGATTGGCGGACGATGTCCTCGACAGAAGCCAAGTCGGTGAAAGCGCCGGCAAAAGGAACGGGAAGGCTTTGGAAATGGCTTCTATTAATTAGGTGTGGGGGGTCGAGGGTTTTTGTTTGAAGGGGGCTCGACTGAAAATATTCAAGACGAGTTCATTTCGAACTCGACGTGTTTGAAGCTGGATAGGATTTCAGAGTAGTGGGTTCGGCAGTTTTAACATTATCGCTGGAATTAAGTGAAAACGTTTCGTAAATATTCAGAACATTCTGTTGCTGCTAGAACTAAATCTCTTTTAGTGTTCTATTAAAGTAAAATAGCTACACACAGTGGAATAGTAAATAAACCTTACCTAAGATAAATGCAACACATCACCCTGATAATCCTTTTTCCACAAAGGATTAACTAAGCGCAACGTGCCTCATCTACATATTTTGTTGTGTGTTCATTACTATCCCATTGTTTAAACACACATCCAGCTCTTACGTGCTTAGTACTTGATTCTATTCAACACCGCAATTTTATTAAACAGTTTTTCTGTCAGGATCCTTGTTTATGGTTTAGACCTTGCCAACTTGGAAACAAACAATGCGATGCAGACTTCCAACATCCACCTAGATGATCGATCACACTGATTTTGAATATGACGTGGTATAAATCCCCGAGGAATTTTCAAAAACTGCGGACAGAAATGATTTCAAACTATGTATGTCCCATCATACTGGAAATTGGTTTCTTCGCTAATTCGAACCTCCTGAACACGAATCCTGGCTCAAAAATTGTCTACGCGGACTCCTGAATTTTGTATTAATTTTTGAATAGTTGACTCTTTCGGAAAATGACATCGTCCGAAATATTCGTCTCCTAAGACCAAACCGATTGAGTTTCCCATCTGTAAATTCTCTCGTAGAACTAGAAAACTTCAAGGAGTCGAATGATGTAAACGGCAAAGCGAAATCTTGAACAGTTTTGGAGTTATGCCCCGTTAAATTTTAAAAACGTTTTTGATTTCAGAGTAAAACGCGATATTGATCGAAATCGGAAGAATTTTCAGTTTCTGAGAGCAAAAATAGCGTCTGCAGTACAGAATTAGCATACAGACTCTATTTCAGACAGATCTAATACAATTCATTTTTGCACCTTATTTTGTGCCATACCTTGTATAGGGAAAATTTCATATTTCAACCATCTCAAACTATCTTGGTTAATTAGACTTCCACCTTTCTGATAATTGGCTTCTTCACTAATTCGAACCTCCTGAACAAGAATCCGGGCTCAAAAATTGTCTACGCAGACAGCTAAATTTTTTATTAGTTTTTGAGTGGTGACTCTTTCGAAAAATGATGTCTTCCTATATATTCGTCTCTCGAGATTAAACGAATTGAGTTTCCGATCTGGACATTCTCCTGTAGGACTATAAAACTTCAAGGAATCGAATGATGTAAACGAAAAGGCGAAATCCTGAACCGTTTTGGAGTTATGCTCCGTTAAATTTGAAAAATACTTTTTGACTTCGGAGTAAAACGCGATATCGATCGAAGTTGGAGTAATTTTCAACAACTGAGGGTCGAAATGGCTTCTACAATTCAAAATTAGCATTCAGACTCTATTTCAAACAGATCGGATAAAATTTATTTTTGCACCTTATTTCCGCCATACCTCGTATAGGGTAAATTTCGGATTTCGCTCATTTCAAACTCTCTTGGTTAATTAATCTCCCATCGTTCTGGAAATTGGCTTCTTCACTAATTCGAACCTCCTGAATACGAATCCTCGCTTAAAAATTGTCTACGCGGACTCCTGAATTTTTGATTAATTTTTGAGTGGTGACTCTTTCGGAAAATGATGTCTTCCTATATATTCGTCTCTCGAGACTAAACGGATTGAGTTTCCGATGTGTAAATTCTCCTGTAGGACTAGAAAGCTTCAAGGAATCGAATGATGTAAACAGCAAAGCGAAATCTTGAACCGTTTTGGAGTTATGTTCCGTTAAATTTGAAAAACGCTTTTAGTTTTCGGAATAAAACGCGATATCGATCGAAATCGGAGGAATTTTCTACAACTGAAAGCAGAAATGGCTTCTACAGTGCAGAATTAGCATGCAAATTTCATTTCAGACAGATGGGATACAAATAATTTTTGCACGTTATTTCCGCCATACCTCGTATAGGGTAAATTTCGAATTTTGCCCATTTCAAACTAACTTGGTTAAAATGGCTCCCATCGTTCTGGAAATTGGCTTCCTCGTTAATTCGAACCTCCTAAACACGAATCCTGGCTCAAGAATTGTCTACGCGGCCTCCTGAATTTTTTATTAATTTTTGAGTGGTGACTCTTTCGAAAAATGATGTATTCCTATATATTCGTCTTTGGAGACTAAACGGATTGAGTTTCCGATCTGCAAATTCTCCTGTAGGACTAGAAAGCTTCAAGCAATCGAATGATGTAAACGGCAAGCCGAAATCTTGAACCGCTTTGGAATTATGCTCCGTTAAATTCGAAAAACGCTTTTTGATTTCAGAGTAAAAGGCGATATTAATCGAAATCGGAAGAATTTTCAGTTACTGAGAGAAAAAATGGCATCTGCAGTGCAAAATTAGCATACAGACTCTATTTCAGACAGATCGGATACAATTCATTTTTGGACCTTATTTTCCGTCTTAGAGGGTATGTCATTTGTCAAAATCACTCTTATCTTAGCAAGTACTAGCTCCGGCCACCCACCCTCTAGATTCTTGGAGAGATCTCATTTGCCAAAATCAGCCTTATCTTACCAGGTTCTAGCCCTACCCACCCTCTCTTTTCTTACAGGGTATGTCATTTGCCAAAATTACTCTTATCTTAGTAAGTGAGGACCCGGGTGGGTTAGGTAGCTTCGTGCTTGCCCGCTACACCTTGGGTCGTGGGTTCGATTCCTGCCCGGCTCTGGGTGTTGTGTATGTCCCCCGTTCCCCTGTAATTGGGCCATCGGCCTGTAGGGGAACGTAATCAAATAAAAAAAAAAAAAAAAAAGTCCTAGCCCCGCCCACCCACCCTCTCATTTGCCAAAATCAGCTTTATCTTATGAACTACTAGGCCCACCCACCCACCCTCTCTTTTCTTAGAAAGTATGTCATTTGTCAAAATCAGCCTTATCTTAGCAACCACTAGCCTCGCCCACCCACTCTCTCTTTTTTAGAGAGTATCTCATCTGCCAAAATCACTTTTATCTTAACAGCTACTAACCCCACCCACCCACCCTCTCTTTTCTTAGAGGGATCTAATTTGCCAAATCAGACTTATCTTAGCAGGAACTAACCCCGCCCATCCACCCTCTCTTTTCTTAGAAGGTATGGAATTTGCCAAAATCACTCTTATCTTAGCAAGTACTAGCCCCGCCCACCCACCCTCTCTTTCCTTAGAAGGTATGTCATTTGTCAAAATCAGCCTTATCTTAGCAACCACTAGCCCCGCCCACCCACTCTCTCTTTTTTAGAGAGTATCTCATCTGCCAAAATCACTTTTATCTTAACAGCTACTAACCCCACCCACCCACCCTCTCTTTTCTTAGAGGGATCTAATTTGCCAAATCAGACTTATCTTAACAGGAACTTACCCCGCCCACCCACCCTCTCTTTTCTTAGACGATATGGCATTTGCCAAAATCACTCTTATCTTAGCAAGTACTAGCCCCGCCCACCCACCCTCTCTTTCCTTAGAAGGTATGTCATTTGCCAAAGTCACTCTTATCTTAGCAAGTACTAGCCCCGCCCACCCACCCTCTCTTTCCTTAGAAGGTATGTAATTTGCCAAAATCACTCTTATCTTAGCAAGTACTAGCCCCGCCCAGCCACTCTCTCTTTTCTTAGAAGGTATGTCATTTGCCAAAATCACTCTTATCTTAGCAAGTACTAGCCCCGCCCACCCACCCTCTCTTTTCTTAGACGATATGGCATTTGCCAAAATCACTCTTATCTTAGCAAGTACTAGCCCCGCCCACCCACCCTCTCTTTCCTTAGAAGGTATGTCATTTACCAAAGTCACTCTTATCTTAGCAATTACTAAGATATAATATTTTGGCACGATACTCAAAAACATGTTTTTAACTTCTTGTAAAGAAATAAATATTTTGCACTTAAGCTCCGCCCTCTTGATTCACGACGAATAAAAAAATCATCACAATAGGGATAGGGCGGGTGGGCGGGCTTATATTTTGCCTTTTTGTTTTAATATGTGTAGACTTCTTTACACAACATAAAACTTAAAACATGTTTAATGGTAAATTTGTCTAAGGAAATATCGATTTTGCAATTAGGCTCCGCCCCATAATTAGGAAATTCATAGTTCCTTGCTAAAATGTACCATTTTAACAATGTTCTAAGTTCCTGTTGTGACAAGATGGCTATGTATATTAAGAAAAAAAGGGAAAATATAAGCCCCGCCCACCCGCCCTATCTCAATTCGGATGATTATTTTATTCGTCGTAAGCCGAGGGGCGGAGCTTGATTGTAAAATCCTTATTTTTCTACGAGAAATTACAATGTGAAATATGTTCTTTAGTAATCGCGTTA